AATAACACTATACCTAAAGTTTCAACAAAAGATGCTGTAAATGCCTTTGAGACAGCTTTTAATTTTCTTCAACAAGGCGATTTAGAAATAGATTATAAAGAATTTAAAGCATTTAAATCATTGAAAAGAAAAGTGAGATTATTAAATAATGAAAAACTATTACAACCAAATATTACATCTTATTTCAACAAATAATTTTTAATTTCCGCATGTATTATTTATTATGTTATTAATTGTATTATTTATTTATTATTATTAAAAAATTTTTTGCCGATCATCACCAATTTTTCCACAGCGGATTTCTCGTCATAACGGATTTTTTTGGTTGGAACCATGAATCCGCTGTGGCGAGGTTTGACTGTAGTTTTCATTTTATGTAAACAAAAAAATATTGGTATCCTGCAGATCCATAGAAGTTTTAATATTAACCAAAAAAATTTTCTTAGCATTAAATAATAATAAAATAATTTCCCTTGTACAGTGATGATAATAAATAGGAATAATTGGCATTTTCTTAAGTCATAGTACTAGTAGCTATAGTAGTAGTAATATAATTATTGTAATTTATATTATCTTGTTAAAGGAAATAAGCCTTATTTTATAATTTTACAAATAGTTAAAATCCCTTAACAATAATATTAATAATAATATAAAATTTGTTGCATCAAAATGTGGATTAATATTTTATAAAACAAATAAAACGAATAATTCTAATAAAATAAAAATGAATACAAATAATTAGAATAATAATAATTAGAATAAAATGAATAATTCGAATAAACGAATGATTAGAATGATTAGAATAGAACAAATAATTTGAATAAATGGATAAAATGAATAATTAAAAATAAATAATTCAAATAATTCAAATAAAAATGAATAATTCAAATAAAATGGACAATTCAAATAAAACTAAAACGAATAATTCAGAGAATTTGGATTAATATTAATATTAAAAATGTGAAGCTGGAAAATGGAATCTGATGGAAATTCAATGACTGTGACCTTGCCATTAGTCATTTATCAGTCAGAAGTGAAATTGGATTGGTCAATTATTTATTATTTGTATTTCAAATTCAAGTATGTTTTAAGGATATATATAAATTACAAAATCAAGAAGATAAGTATGTTTTAAGAATTATTAAAATTCAGAGGTATATTTAAGTGTATAATTAGGATATCTAAATTCCTATTACTGTAAAAAATAAGAATGTTTTAATTGTAAAATTAGTATATTTTGCAAATAATTAGCAAATCATCTTTTTTGATTTAAGTATGTTTTATAAAAATTTAGAAAATAAGTAGGAATTAATATTATTATTATATATTGTTATTATTTTCAATTCTTTTTGCAAAATGAAAATAGT